GAAATAAGTCTCAAAACCCAGAAAAGTTTCCTGCAAGAAAATTTGGTTTTCCCCACTAAAATAACCCCATGAACAGCTGTGTCAGCTAAGCCACTGTATTCATATTTTGAGCTTGGGGAAGAACCTTGGGGTTTAGTTTTGAGGTAATGGAGAAGGAACCTTGTGAGTGTAAAGATGTTGTTTTGGTTCCCATAAGCACTCAAATTTCTGATGATTTTTTCAATAATCTTTGGACTCAGTATTGTCAAGTCATCAAACCACCAATCCTTGCCTGATTTTGAAGAGAATCTGAAACCAAAACTTGTTTCAGGTGAAGATGATGATGAAGAAGAAGAAGCTATGAAGTTCATATCTGAATTCTGAGCAATCTTTGCTAGAAGTGCAAAAATCAGCTTTTGGATTAGACCATAAGAATCTGCATACGGAAAGAATGGTTCACAGCTCCTCAGAGACATCATTATATCATTCCAGGACCAATTGAACATCCCTTCAAGGAACTTTTCTGTTTGTCTCAAGAGATTGTTGGTTGAAGCTTTCTCTGTCATGCCAAGGGAAAATGCAGAACAATAAAGAAGAGACATTTGAAACTGTGATTTCAACTCTTCCATGGCTGTAACAGAACCTTGAAACTTGCTCGAATCCATCTGGTCCACCAGGGAAATCGTTGAGATCTATATGGAATCCTCAATCTGGGTTTTCCTCCGTTTTCTTATGATCTTCTTCAACCTTCCTGAGAAAGCTGATACAACATTCTGGGAAAGTTTTTTCCCCTCAAAGAAACATATTCACAAACAGTCGTTCAACTTCTACATATACAAATAAAAAGAAATTTACCTCATGAAGAAAGAAGCATTGTTGATCATTAATGATGATTTGGAGATTGTAATCTGAGCCATTTCTATTGCTGCTTTTTTCTTCTTCAAGGCTCTACCTTTGCATTGAATGAATCAAAGTAACCAAAATAGAAGGAGGGTTTTGTTGGTATGTGAATATGTTTATATATTATAGAGAGCAGCCATAGCCTGAAGCTCCAAGCAGAAATTATTGAGCCTTTTAGGCATGGATAAAACCTGCAATCTCATGCCACATTGCAGCTGTCCCTGGTTCCCATATGTAATGAGATAAGGGGAGGTAAGATAGTAGGTTGCCCCCAACACTAGGTTGAGAGCAGCTTCTCGTAGGAGACCTCCAAATTATGAAATGCCCTCCATGAAACTCGATCCCACGACCTCAAGATTTAGAACCTTGTGCTCTATCAAATTATGAAATGCCCACATGTATATTATATATATATATATATATATATATATATATCAATGATATTGTCGATCTTATACATTATTTTGCCAAAAAGAATCCTACTAGAGTACTATAACGTTAAAGACAAAACCCTTCAAGCTCCTTCATGCATGCATACAATACTTAAGTGTCATTCTATCAAGTTCAAGCATAAATATCAACAGTATAAATATTAATTTTCGTGTCAAAGTTTTGAGACCGTATATAAGCATTAATTATAAATTTTTTTAATATCTTTCAAGTTCATTTCATAATTTATATTAGGATAATATTATCTTTTAAATTCATTTCGTGTCTAACATTCATTTATTATTTACATCTAATTTCTAATCATAAAGCTCATTCGTTTATTAGTTACTAAACTTGTAAATATAACATCTTTTATATATATATATATATATATATATATATATATATATATAATGTCAAACATCTCAAAACATATCGTTCACACAACTTCATATAACTAACATGTTTTCCAAATCAATAACTATTCTATGGTCAAACCATCATTACACAAAACTTGCATTTTTCACCCAGCACACATCATAACATGCATTTTTACATAACACTTGCATTTCCCAACCAATTTCTTGCTCTTCACGTAGTTTGTACATCCATTTTATCTTATATATAATTGCGTTTAATGTTACACATTAATATAAACTTTGGTATATTTATAATTAGTTTAAAAATAGTATGTTTGTGTGAGGTTATTATATATATATTTTTTCATATCATTATCCTTTTTAAAAAATTTCCCATATTAATCATTTATTATCTTGTGTTGTTTGTTAAATAGAATGGTTATTAAACTAAATTTATTTAAAAGAAATAATTTTACATGAACGAATATATATTAAGATAATTGAGAGGTGAAATTAGGATTAATCTAAGATAAAGAAGTGATGAAATATCTATTAATCAACTTAAAACTGGACTCACGAAGAATATATATATATATATATATATATATATATATATATATATATATATATATCCACATATCTCACCATTCTCATTAGATCATTTGGAGTTTCCAAAAACAACATATCCCTTTCACCCATTTCATTGCCTTTACTGTACCTTTCATAATTTGGTTGTTTCTATCAAGGTATTGATTATTATATGCAGAACACAACACTGGAGTCGAGACCAAGGGAACGTACTGTATTGGTCGGAACCTTGAATTTGCTAGACTATAGAATCTTGGCTGGGAAAGCTATAGGGTTGTTGATTTAATAGATGATAAAACTTATTCCTATGTTAATTGCAGTTAAATCATCACCATCATTGAGTTCTTCACTTCATAACTTTTTCGAAACGAAAACTCAGTAATGGTGAAGATTTAACTCGGCTAATACAGACTTTTATCATCTTCATTAAGTTAACAACCCAAAAGCTTGCACGATTAAGGTTTTTCAATTTGACAAATTTCAAGTTTTGACCAGTACAGAACATTCCCTTGAGTTTCGACTCCATTGTTGTGCTCTGCATGCAATAATCAAACCCTTGACTCAAACAATCAAACTATGAAAGGTAAGCTGAAGGCAAAGATTCCGGCGATGCTTCTCCGGTATCATCTCCTCCACAACACACTCTAACGACCTATGTTCAATGCCTCAGTGATTTGGCCATGCTCCACAGATTCCGGCGTGAAGTGGATATAAGGATTGTTCATTGGATTTTGAGTCGATCAACTTTTGGATGGAGCACTTTTTTTTATAGAAAAAATGGATGCGAGTAGAGTTTCTTTTATATTATGTATACGAAACGATTATGATAATTACTTAATTGGATACAACCCATTGCAAGTGCAGATTAGAACCGTACGATGCTCATTGACCTAAACTCCATTGTTGTACTCTCTACAATGAATATAACGAAACACGATTATAACATGCGAAAAGATGCAAATATGAATATACGAATTATATTATATTTGAAGTGATATTTAACCTTAATAATGATAATGCTTCGTTTTGCTGCAAATTCAGCTTGCATATGTTTTGGTTTAGTTTGAGGTTTATTTATTTTTAAGAGAAAATAACCTCATTGACAAAAAATGCCACCAACTTTTTTTGGATTTGTCAAAATGACCAACTAAATCGCAATGCGATCGATAATTCGCAAGCATTGCGATAGTCCAAGTTCGCGTTGCGATTTATTCCAAGTTCGTTGCGATAGTCGGTATTGCATTTGTTTCTTAAGAATTTTCTCTAAAAAGATAGTATTCGCGCGGACGTGTCAAAGACACGTATTACCACGACCACGAGATGAGACGAGACGAGACGGACGGCGGCGCGCGAGAGTCCCCCTTGTTCTCTATCACTCAACAAGGAAGTGGGAAAGCCAAGCCTTAAATACCATTCCCAATAGTGTTTCCAATACTATGTGGGATTGAGCATTACCAACACTCGTTCCTAATACTATGTGGGATTGAGCCTTAAATAGTGATATTATTTTTGAATGTTTTGCTTAAAATTGCAATAATCGCGATTGATTGTAGATTGACTTTTAATTATGACATATTTAATCGTATAATACTAATGCAATTGGTTGCTGATTCAGTTGTTTTAAGGTGCATGATTGTTAATTGTTTCCTGAATAATCACATTGTATTGGAAACAAGTGTTGGTAATGCTCAATCCCACATAGTATCGGAAATACTATTGGGAATGGTATTTAAGGATTGGCTTTCCCACTTCCTTGTTGAGTGATAGAGAACAAGGGGGACTCTTGTGCGCCACCGCCGTCGCCGTCCGTCTCGGGTCTGGTCTGGTCTGGTCGTGGTCGTGGTCATACGTGTCTTCGACACGTCCGCGCGAATACTATCTTTTTAGAGAAAATACTTAAGAAACAAATGCAATACCGACTATCGCAACGCGAACTTGGACTCTTGGACTACCGCAATGAATTTGGAATAGATCGCGTAGCGAATTATCGATCGCATTGCGATTTAGTTGGTCATTTTGGCAAATCCAAAAAAAATTGGTTAAAATCGTATATTATAAGACATTTAAAATTACATCATGCGAAAAAAATATTAATATGTTCTTTTATTAAGTTTAGCACGGACAGATGTAAAATTTTATGTTAAAAGTGTAAACTTATAAATTAAAACGGATAAACTTATAAAATTTTAAGAAACAAAAATATATTTTCAATAAAAAATATAAATAAAACATTTAAAATATACATATATCTAAAATTGTAGGGGGACGATTGTGCTCCCCCACCCCTTGGTCCATCCTTGTAACAATTGTAAAATACAACGTTAATTGATCACAATTTAATTAAAATTAAATCAGACAAAAACAACCACACAAGTATATAATGCCTAAAATCAAATTTATTTTAAAATTAAATTAAATTATATACAATCATCAATCATCGTATACTCAAAATAAAATTAAATCAAAATTAAATTAAATTAAATCGAACATTTTTATAAATATACTAAATAATATATAAAATGATATAATATCTTCGATTAAAGAATTTTTATCTTAATTTAACTATATCTTATTTACCCTATGATATGGGGAAATAGGATCTCAAAATCCTTCTTGTTACTTATCTAAAATTGAAGTCACGTGTAATTTCAACGACTCTCCCATGAAATTTAAAGTTGTGACATTTCACAACAATCAATTCATCAATTTTATTGAAGAATTTTATACTTATAACTTAATCCTATCTTATATGAGAAAGGGATGGGTCATTAGTCTATCAGCAGTCCAACGTTCACGGGGATCCCTAGCAAAGCACTTCTTCAAAAAGTCTCTCCCGTCCGGTGACATATCTTGGGGTATATCCGGTATATCCCTCGAGCAAGCAATCCTTGTTGCCAAGCCTTCCAAATCGTCGATGAACGATTCCCACGGTCGTTCTCTGGTCATCATCTCAACCACAACGCATCCTAACGACCAGATATCCAAAGCAGCTGTTACTTCCCTATGCTTCACAGATTCGGGCGACATGTAAGTCGGAGTACCACGAAAACACCCTCTAGTCAGCCATGTATCGTCACCGGGTTCCTTGGCCAAGCCAAAATCAGCTAACTTCAAATTAAAACGATTACCGAGCTTATTGGGATAAACAAGAATATTTTCCGGTTTGATATCGCAATGTACATAACCTCTCATATGAACAACACGAAGTCCTTGGAGTATCATCTTCGTATAGCATCGTACATCGGATTCCGGTATTCCGCCACCGTATCTCTTGATCAAATTGAAGAGGTCACCACCTTGGGCGTACTCAAGAATCAAGTAGTCACGATCGAATTCCGTAAATTGAACGAAGCATTGAACGATATTCGGGCAGTCAAAAAAGTGTTCAAGGATCCGGTATTCCCTTTGAAGCAAAGAAGTCGACGATGGTGAAGATTTAAGAGCGTGTAACATACGGATAGGATCTATCATCTCCACTAATTCGACAACCCCATTGGCTCCAGCGCCAAGATTCTTCATTTTGACCCATTGCAAGCTCGAACTAGAACCGCACGATGCTCTTGAACTTAACCCCATTGTTTAATTTGCTCTCTACAATAATCAAACCTATATATATATATATGAGATTGTATAAGAACATTTTCCTAATCCAAGTTTAATTCTACTTCTCTTTATTATTTTAATATAATTAACTTTAACTTGGTTTATGAAACTGGCGTTTTGGAAGGGACGAGACCCCTTAAATCTAGTGGGGGCCGTGTGCCCTCCAATATATTATTATTATTATTATTATTATTATTATTATTATTATTATTATTATTATTATTATTATTATTATTATTATTATTATTATTACAACAAAAACAAATAATATATATTAAAATATTAAATTTTCCCCTCTTAAAAAGAGACGTGTATAATAAACTATTAAATTTGATTGTCCTAGAGATCTATTTATTGGTCGAGTAGTTTATGATATTTATATTATTTCACCTTGCGTGAGTTCGAATCTCGATATTTGCATTATAAATATAATACATCTATACTTAATAAAAAAAATTGGTTGCCTCAATAAATATGTATATTACTTTAGAATTTGGAAATCAATTAAATATTATTTATTAAAAACAATTAATATCAATTTTCCTTTGTCAAATTATGTATTTTTTCCTCTTTAGTTGTTATTTTCTTTGAATTGTTCATCTTCTTTAAATTAATGACTTCAATAATATTATAAAGTGTTTCATCTCAGTTGAAGATAAAAAAAATTAAAATATTTTTTAATTCAATAAATATGTGTGATTTATATTTATATTTATATATATATATTATGTGGGTTCATGAATTTTAATCTCTAGAAAAATTTACATATACACGCATGCACATGCATGCGCACACCCCCTCCTTTGAGTTTGAAAATGTTAATTTTCGTTTATAGAACGTGATCTAGAGTTATGTAAGTCAATATAGGAATATCCAGTTACTAAACAAAATGAAATTTGACTTGAGTGCATGTCCATATAAAATCTATTCCTCTAATTATATATTTTTTCAAGAAAAAAATCATAGGTGTTGTTAATATTTTCGGTTTGCTCAAATTTTCTTTTAAATAGTCCCCTCAAAAAAATTACACAAAATGGTGGACAACCATATTAGGATGAAATTCATGTCATTTAAGCTTTTATTCTCAATTGATGATAAAAATATTGTTTATTAAATATATTTTGTTTTTAAAATTGAAGTAATATAAAAAAATGAAGTTGAAAAAAAAATAAACTAACAAATCAACCATTAATAATTTGATTCAGTAATGGGCTGCTCAGTTATGTGGGGTTTTTTTCCAAAATTGATGTATCAATCATTTTAAGCTTTAAAAAGATCACAAGCCCAAATATTTACATTAACTTCTTATTAAAAAAGAATAAACTGTAATTAATAATAAATTTGTTAAGTCTTTTAGGTGAGGGAAAGAGTTTGAATATGATATTATAAAATAAGAATTAGATTGAGAAAATCAATCTCATAATTAACCTTTATGATACTCTATCCAAATTAATAACAAATATATAGAATATCAATAGTTATAAAAAAATGTAAATGAATACCCGAGTTTCGGGAATGTTAAAAAGCTGCGAGAAAAGCTAGCAAGCATAGAAATAGCATTGGTTTCAATTGCAAGGAGAAAAAAAATAAAGCTAAAAACTGTTAAATTTGAAAATCTAAACTCCTATACCAGCAAAACTGTGTTGTATAGAACTCCATCAAGCAAAACCGAAAAAATACACCGAATTCTAGAGAGTAGTCTTACCTATCCATCGACTCAAAAAGTTCAAACCAACTGCCATATTCCAGCCCAAAGAGGGTACATTAAGCACATTAACAAAATAGATCCTTCCTTTCTCAGTAGTACCTGCTTCGGTCTCGATCTCGGTCCCTGTCCCGTCCATAATCTCTATCATAATCACGGCTTCGATCCTTCCCCCTATCTTTCTCTCTGCTCCGACTACGGCGTCTTTCCCTATTTTCACGGTCTCTATTCTTGCTACCTTCTCTATCATCCCTTTCCCTTCCCCTGTCTCTGCTTCTTTCTCTTCCATCCCTGTCAACCACACCTGCGGGGTACACAGTTTTACTAGAACATTAAGACACTCCAAAACATCAATACACTCCAAAACTCTTTAGTTTTACACAAATTTAGGACCGTTGGACGAGTGAAAATAGATGACTGAAATTGACTCTTTGTTTTTCTTTTCCTAGTGAATTTCTCATTTCCTACTGTTAATCTCAGTTATCTATTTTCACTCATTTAAAGGTCCTAAATCTGTGTAAAACTAAAAGAGTTTTACACTATGTAACAGGATCCTATCCCAATATATATACATAATACTTGGCTCATATAAACTTTATTCAACCTAGATATAACAACTCTTTTCGATTTTTTTATAACCATCGGTATCCGACCTATTAACTGACTAATTTGGATCAATTATTACAGATGCCCATAACGGGATGACTCTCCCAACCCAGTTTGCTCGCCTCATCCCACAAAACCAAATGGTAGCTGGTACTCTTTTTAAGTCTTTAGCTAAGTGAAAACCCTGTTCCTTTTTTAAGTTTGTTCAGTTAATTAAATAAACAAGACAAGTACGACAATCAGTATCTTAAAACAACGCATCCCCATATTAAATAGTTGTTAACATAATGAACTCAATACCTAGTTCCGCAACTTCCCAACCAGCACGGCCTGAACCTGGTAGCACTCGAGCAGCTTCAGATTGTTGTGTTTTTGCTCGGAACTTTTTCTTGAGATTGCCGAATTCATCATACATCTCACCATCATCCTGAGATTAACACGTAATTGCCATCAAATTAAGATACTAAACAAACTAAGCTTCAAGTAATTATAATGGAGATATATTTTACTTCTTCTGCCTCACGTCGACGTCGCCTTGTTTCCTCTATCTCTTCTTCATCAAGTTCTTTGTAACCACCAGCACGTCCTCCTCTGTTAAGAACAGGTTTATAGCATATGTAAGAAGCTTGCACATAGCAGAAAAAATTGAATGACAAAAGGTGCGAGTGATTCAAACAAATAGGAAAGAGCGCATAAGAGGAAATGAAACCAATGCTTTGAAAATAAAGTTAGTTAACAAGTAGAAGAATACTGTGAAAACACACAACAAGAATGACTATGCAGTAATGGCCCCTACACCAGAACATCAGTAAAGAATCAGGTAAAACTGAAAGGAGCAGTGTTGAGGAATGGATGCAATCAGATAATGAGAGGAAACTATTTTCCTTTTAGTTTGCCCTCCAATGAAGTGACTGATTAGGTAAATAAATCTAGGAATCTTCTTGCTCCACATCTTGATAATAGCCTCTTGCACTACAGATTCTAATAAGTTCAGATAACAGAAATGGGTAGCTAAGAGGAAGATGATGGAACAAACTTTAGAAATTTGGATACCAGTTGCACTACAAATTCTAACATGTACAGGCCATTGTCTCTTGTGTACAAAAAAGGAATTATCTTGTGTAATGGAATTTTCTTTTATTTTCCACCTTCTAGTAAAGGGAATGTAGTACAAGTTTCTTTTGAAAGAAAAAGGGTCTGTAAGTAAAGATAAATGCAAATGAAAGAAAGTAAAGCCTCGATTTAGTACATGAACTGAAAGAGATGGTGATTGAAAATGGGTCTGTCATGCCTGATCGGCAATAGTATTGGCAACAATGCCACTACCCACAATGCAACATGGTTTTCAGCTTTCTCACTAAAACTCAGAAAAAGACAAAAGATACCAAACTGAAATCATATTTGGAAAGAAGGAAATGGAGGAAATATATAGCAATGCCCATCAGAAACCAGAAGGTAAATCAGAAAAAAAAAGTTAACACTTGATTTTTTTTTTTTTGATAGTAAGATGGCCTCGTTAAAAACCCCATCATAACAGCCGATCTACAAAGAAACACTTGTAAAATTAGAGGAAAATAATTTCTTCATACATGAATTAAAGGTCAAAATCACCTCAAGCATACTCATATAATAAGGATGAAATGAAGCAAATGATCGGGCTACAAAAAAACAACTTAGAAAAGTAAATCGACAATACAAAGACGAAAGATCAATTTTTCAATGAAAATATCCACAAAATTTTAATTTGTATCTAAGATTAGAATATATCAAATACTTATTATATACCTCACACCGCCCTCATTGTGACCAGGTTTATTGGTGTTGCAAATATTGCATTTCATACGCTTAGCCCAGTTGATGTTACCACACCTGTTAAACAGAAGTTCAAAGAACTGATATAAATAACATTGCAAAAAACATGGCATTGCATTTATATATAATCATACCCACATATCTTAACATTGGCAGAGTTGAAGGGTTCAAATGTTTTAAGCACCACAAAAACCACCACTAATGGTCCCTAACCAATTTGCATAATCCACCAAAATATTGAAGACACCAATTTGGCTTAGCTCAAGTGGAAAGAGAGTGAGCATGTTAGGGTAGAGATATTAGGTTCAAGCATTTGTGCTCGCCTTTGTACCGAATAAACAGAAACATGAAAACAAAACAAAAAATCTCGACTTTCCTAAGATCACACAAGGACCAGAAAAGAAGAAAATGTTTCACTCGAGCATTAGAGGTCATACATAGGGCAGGGCCAATCATTCGGTCCAAAAAGTCCACCAGTAGCAGCTACTGCGCGGCCATGACCTCCAGAGTCGGGGGCACCACGGTCCCTCCCACGACCACCAGCCCCTCCACCACCACCAGATGCACCTGTAGGTCGGGCACTTCCGCATCGATTGCACACACCACGGAATGAAAAATTGACATTGGAACAACTGCAACCAGAAAAAATCATATTGAAGTATGAACAGACAATCAGAGTTCAAGACAATCGGAAAAAATCGTTATAAAAGAGCAAGAAGAAGCTGCTCACCAATATCACATCACAGACCTTGTATTTGGACAGAGCCAGTCTCCATCCTGTTGCCACGTCTTTCCTGAAGTATCAACCCAACCTCTACCCCTTCCACCACCCCCATCCATGTCCTTAGCTGCATTGTCCTCCAACCCAACACCATCTGCTGCCACATTTGGAAGATCTACACCAGCATTACCACTCTTACTCTCTGCCATAAAAACACCAATTGTACTCCCATGGAAATCCTTATCGTTAAACCATTCAACAGCAGCCAATGCAGCATGTGGGTCCTCATAAGTAACCGTAGCATCACCTTTTGGCTCATTTGTCACCTTATCTCGGTATAACCATACCTTAGGTCGACCAGTTCGCTTATCTTTCTATAAAATCAGCAAAAACACAACGATAAGCGACAGATAACACAGACATAGCTGCATACTTTTTGTGTTTCCATCAAAATTTTATATACCTTTAGCAAGCCAATCGTTCCAAAATATTCAGCTAGCATAATTTCATCGGTTCCCTCAGGTAAATTACAAACATAGATGGAACCATTAGTAGGAGCTCCTCTTCCTAAATTGCTTGCCATAGTTTCTTCACACACATCAAAATCCTTCAACAAAGCTCTAAAAAAATTAAGTGTTTAGCTAAATTTGTGATTAGCAATAAATTTGAAAGAAAGAAAGGAAAGGAAAGGGGAAATGCTTAATTGATGCAGCATGGTAGCATTAACAGAAAATATTATAGATCGCGCCTTAAATTCTTTTTCTTAGGGATAAAAAAAACTTCAAGCTAAATTGAAATTTTAGAGAAACAATAAATCAATTAAAATTGACAAAAGTTAGAATAATCAGGAAACAAAAGATAAAGATCTGAAGCCTAAAAGATCAAGGGGAATGAGATATGGTATTCTCACTAGTTGTAGTGGCGCAGGCAGCGGCGGTGGAAGATCAAATAAGTAAATGTGATAACGGCGGTGATTTTGACGGAGCTGCACCGGTGGCTTATTTTCTCTTCTTCGTTAAAATAATTGTAAATGGATAGGGCTTCTTTTTGTGATTACGATTCCTGTTGAGTGTTGAGTGTCCCGCTCCGGTGTTGTTATTAATTACAACAACATGTCACTCTATTATTAGTAAACTTATATTATACTGTCGTACTTTGAAAAATTACAATCAAATTGTTTAAATAATTAATTATAATAAATTATATTACTGTATCATCAAAACTTAAATGGAAGTTAACCTTTTTATTTCTATTTTAATTACTCAATTATAAGTGAGTTTATAGTTTGGTTACTTAATTTTTGGGTGTGGGGTAAATTTTTAGGTTTTATTTTCTAATATTTTAAATAAAAATTTAATAAACATATAAATGTTTTTCTAAATAAAAATAATAATGAAACATTGAGAACTTTTTCTTCTATTATGTCTAGAGAATTAATAAAAATAATGATTATCGTTGTAAAAAAATAAGTTAAAATTGGAAGAAGAAAAAAACTTTTGATTTATCTTGTTGTTATACTTTAAGCAAAAAGTATATTTGTTTAAATTAAATTGTCACACGAAAATCATTTATCGGTATGAATATTTTTATATTTTTTAAAATTAAATGTATAATTATATATTTATAAAGATTAAAGTCGAAATTAAAAATCAGTGAAACGTCACAAACTATCTTACTATTATACTTTAAGTAAATGAATTTTTTAAACAAATATAACGTATTAATTTTTAAGTGATATATTATTGTAACGTTAGATTTCGTGACAAAATGAATAAAATGATTAACTATGAAATAGTTTTTATATAAAATCAGTGATCGACTTCAGTGATAAATAAGTTCTACTTAGATATATTGGGTTCAAATAACTGTATTTGAAGACGTGTGTACATATGTCAATAGGCTAAAAATATATATGTACATATATTATATTATAATCATCTCATATTATTAAAAAATCATTTTGTTGCAATGCAAATTTCCTTTGTGATTAAATAATTATCTCTATAAATAAATATTAGAGACTATAGTTAGATGTGAATTTGTTCATGGATGTTCCTTTTGTATTATTCTACTTTCGATATTTGTAAAAGAAAAAATCTCTTTTATTCGTAATTATTTTTTAAATAATTTTTTATATAAAATATTAATATCTATTTTATTAATTGTCATTATCTTTCAACAAAACATTTAATAATTGATTTGATTTTATTAGACTAGTTTGATTTGGAGGAAGTAGACTATCAAGGAAAAGAAAAAGGTTAATGTTAAGGGAACTGATACTAGGAATGGATATTTGACTAGGGTTTTAACTTAAATCAACTTTATAAGATCGTTTTTTTTTGGAAAATTGATTGAGTTCAAAACGTGTCAATTTTTTAAAAGATAAAATCGAAATCTATTTCATAGTGAAAATTATTAGACATAAGAATAATAATATAATTGATCTTTATATATTTAGGTATAATTATTTTAATATTCTTTATTTATATTTTATTCGATATGATTAATATATTACTTAATAAAAATGAGAATTGTACATATAATTTTATTTAATCGAATCATATGTATTTTTTATTTTAAAAATTGAATCAGATTTTAAATCAAATAAAAAATTAAACTTAAATAACAAAAAAAAACATTATATTTAAATACTTTCAAGTAAAAAATTTGATTCGATCTAACGGATGATGGATCACCTGTGATAGAGACTAAATTGAGCGATCAGCTGATGTATTCGTTTCCAAACCACGCTACGGCCGCATCCGGACGCTGAATAAATATCTTCTCCCAAGCTGATGACGTGGTAGCTCTACGGTGCCAGATTTATTTCAGATTTTTTTTGGCCCTTTGATTTTTGATACGTGCTTGTCACTACACTGACGTGGACGCACACTCTTTAACTTTTGCCTCTCCATTTCTTACTAAATTACGAAATCACCACTCTCCGTTCGGAAGATATTTAGGTGAATAAACTGAACAAATTCTCCAATTCATAACAAACTTTTGTTCATCGACAAGTAGGTGTTTGGATTCGATTTTAGAGACTATAGGACAACTTTCGGCAACATAAAAGGATTCTTTCAATTTACCAATTTGAATTTGGCTTGAAATAGGGATAGAGATATCAAGTTCGAGTTTTATCGTTTTTATATTATTTTTATACATATGAACAAAAATGATTTTAGTGAACAAGAGATCTGTTATTATCTTTTTATTAGTTCTTTCGATCAATCGAAATACACTAAGAGAAGGTGAATTGACATCTTAAAATTTTGTATGAAAGCAATAGAAAATTAAAAGATTTACCCAATGAAATTAGAGTGATTCGACTTCTAAACTAAATTTACATCTATTATCTTTAGTGTGAACACTAAATATTTCTCATATCCTCTAAATTTGCTTACCTTTAAGGACATACCTTATAAACACTTCAATATTTATACGCCAAAACCTTGAATTACACACCTTCCAAAGAGTAATTACAAATTAAGCAAACAAAAGAAAAAACCTCACAAGATAAATATGTTTAGACAATTTAACTCTCGCCCAAATCACACTTGAGCAAAATAAACACTTTTAAATACTTTGATGTTAGTATATTGATACAATATGACTATTATTGTTCTTGAGATTCTTTGACTTTGATTTTATATATTTTATATCAATTCTAGTAGTTTGGAGTCATTGGAGATCATTATAGTCATTGCCTCCAATCAAAAACATCAATTTAATGCATAAGAGATCAATCCTTTGATAAAAAAGATCGATTATTTTTTAAATAATTTGATCGTTGCAAGAAAAGGATCGATCTTTTTCATCGAGGGATCAATTCGTTGGTGAAGGGATCGATCCAATCATACTAGAATCTAAGGGATCGATCCTTTTACTTCGGTTTGAAAACTCGACTTTAAAGTATGAAAATAATCGAAAAAAGGTTTGAAAAGATTTCACTAATTTGAAAAACATTTAAAACGTATTTTCAAGTCAATTTGGACTTTGAATTACTTTTGATAAACTTTTAACAAATTTAATTAAGTCTAAAATCAATTTTACATTTAATTGTTATATCAAAATATAAGTTCTACACATTTGAAGTTTTAAGTTGCACCATGTACGTAGGGGTATGAGAGTTCATTATCAAACGGTTGAGAAGCAATTCTTATCAAATGGTTGAGAAGCAATTCCTTAACCACTGAAGTCGTTTGATTAAGTCGTTTGGTTCATATTTGTTGAATTATGTTTAAAGAATCATTTTGATTCTATTAAAAAAATCATTTTGATTTTTTATTTTTAAAATAATTATTAATTTTATAAATAGTTATAAAATTATCACTATAATATTATAACTTTTGAAAATTAAATGATAGAAATAATCATTTGAGTATAAGTTAGTGACCTATCATATAGTTTACATTATAATTTTTAACCTTTAATACATAAAATAATGATAATAATACAAAAGGTTTTGTTAATAAGATGATAATTCATAACTTGGGAAAACTAATAAAATTATTTTTAATAATAAAATGAAAATTGAAAAAAATCATAATATTAATTTTTAAAGGATTTTGTGTCAAATTGGTTCATCTAATTGTACCAAAAAAATATGAGACTTTAATTTGAATCAAAAATCAAATGAGTTGTTATATAAAAAATAACAATAAAGCGAACCTTTATTTGGATAATCATGGGTCAAATGAGATTTTGTTTAAACAACTATAAATAAAATTTTATTTAATAGATTTAAAAAAATATTTGAACTGTAATTTAAATTAGGGGTTAATTTGATTTGTTGGTCCAACTAGAGGTAGAGATGTTAAAATGGTTAATTCGGTTAACCATCAAACCTAAATACCATTAATTGATTAATCAAATTTTTTTTAATTGTTATTCAAACCGAACATCTTTTTAAAAAATATTAACCGAATTAAACTTTATTCGGTTACCTCGATCAATGAACGAATTAATCAATTTTTAATATTTTTTTAGTTAAATTAATTTAAGCTTAATAGATTTATTTTTTAATTTACATTAAATTTAATTAAGTCTTGATAATTTAATGAGTATAGTGTGATTATAAAATAATTGAATATTAATTTTTAATATATTTTAACTTAAAATATGTATTTATTATATATATAATATATAATATTTTAATTTAATTAATTTCGAACAGAATTAATCATTAATTGAATATTAAAAAGATTTAATCGTTTCCCAATCTAAACTCTGAACTAATTCGACGATGAACCACTTTAACCGAATTAATTTGATTTGATCGTTTAGAGGGACCTATTTGATGGCCTAACAAAATATCTAAAGAATAGGCAACAATAAGGTTGAATTGAGAATATATAATGGATTTGTAAATGTGGTACGCAAAGAAGGGCATTTTGGAAAAGAGAAATTCAACCCATAAATATCTCCCTTCAGCAAAACAAAAATCTTAGAGAAGGGGAAGCCCACACCTCCCAATTAGGAACAGAGAAGAAAGAAAGAAAGAAAATGTCTAAAGGAGAACTGATGCATAGCAGTGGAAAGCGGCAGCGATTTGCAAAAGACGAAGAAGTAAAACGACAAGAAATGGAAGAAGAAGATGATGATGATGGTGAGGACGACGATGGTGTTGAAGAAGAGAGCCAGCTTCCTATGAAACCAGGTCTATTATATTACCCTACAACTCCGACTTCTTTCGTTGTTTCCGATGCTTTGGAGCCCGATTTCCCTATTATTTATGTCAACAAAGTCTTCGAGGTTTTCACCGGTTACCGAGCCGACGAAGTCCTTGGTAGGAACTGGTAAGATTTCTTTTAGTTTATTTTCCTTTTTTTCTTCTCTTATAACATTTGATCCTGATTTTAGGGGTAATTAAAGATTTTTGGGGTGATTTTTGGGGTAATTAAAGATTTTTGGAGTAAATGTAGAAGATTCGTGATCTAGGAATCATTTACAGCAACCAGTTTCCGTTTCATCTTGTACAAAAGTTAGTTCCACTTATAAAAAGGAACAAAATAAATGCTTGACAATCATATTGATGAATTCTCCTATGAGAATTATCCATCATATTCTCAAGTACTATCTTATTTCAGATGTAGATCAGTATGGGTTGAATTAAGAAGAGACAACTATGGAATGAACTTTTGTTGTCCCAGTTCTTTGCCAATAATTATGGAAGGGTTGCAAGGAGAAACAGAGAAGAATCTATCTAATTGAACCTATCCTCTTGAAAGATGGCTTTAGTGTGTTTAAAGTTGGTCTTCTTTCCAGCTTGAAGTAGAACAAAATTCTTTCAGACGCTAAACTACCATAAATACTCATAAATGGCAGTTGTCTTCTTTGAATATTTAGCAAAAAGTTTGTCAATGGTAAATGATGATAAATCATTTTTCTTTTTCTGGGGTTAAATGAACACACAGGAAGTTAAGAGTGTGCTGCAAAATCATCTTTTTTCTCTTTGCTGTGTTGAAAAGGATTTGATTTTCTATGTTGAGTGAGAGACATCTAGCTTTTGATTATTTTTAAAGTGTTAAAAGAATTTGAGATATTCATGCCCTCCAGCTTACAAGGAGAAACATGGAGTGGATAAAAATTGCTCCAGACTTGAGGTTAATTTGTTTCCATGTTATCTTGTTATGGGCATCCTTTTGGCTGGCATTCACAATTTTGGTAATGGAAGTTTTCATTTGCCCATAATGCTTATGCTTCTCTGTCTAGTTCTGATGTTTCTTTATCTTTTAATAATCACTTGATTTAAAGGATCTAGATTGGCCCTCTTATGGGATTCTTTTTTCAGTCGGTTCTTACAGTATAGAGATCAATGTGCTCAAAGACGGCACCCTTTGGTAGATCCTTTTGTTGTTTCTGAGATCCGAAGATGTCTTGAAGAAGGTATTGAATTCCAAGGTGAGCTTCTGAATTTCAGGAAGGATGGCACTCCGTTGGTGAATATATTGAAACTTGCACCTATACGTGATGATGATGGAATAGTCACTCACATTATTGGTATTCAAGTGTTTTCCGAAGCAAAACTAGATCTGAATCGTGTATCATATCCGGTTTTCAAAGAGACTTGCAATCAGCAGTTGGATGAGTCAACTAAATACTCTCATTTCAACGATCCGCCATTCAGTCAGCAACGAGAAATATGTGGGATACTCCAACTCTCTGATGAAGTTTTAGCTCATAACATTTTATCTCGGTTGACGCCAAGAGATGTTGCTTCTATTGGGTCTGTCTGCCGAAGGATACGAAAACTGACAAAAAATGAGCATGTGCGAAAGATAGTATGTCAAAATGCCTGGGGAAGGGAGGTCACTGGTACGTTGGAAATGATGACTAAAAAGTTGGGGTGGGGACGTCTTGCTAGAGAACTGACCACTCTTGAGGCAGTCTGTTGGAGGAAACTGACCGTTGGAGGAGCGGTGGAGCCTTCACGATGCAACTTTAGTGCATGTGCAGCAGGGAACCGTCTAGTGCTTTTCGGAGGCGAGGGGGTCAATATGCAGCCAATGGATGACACCTTTGTTCTCAATCTTGATGCTGCAAATCCAGCGTGGCAGCGGGTAAGTGTGGAAGCCTCCCCTCCAGGGCGTTGGGGTCATACTCTCTCATGCCTAAATGGTTCATGGTTGGTGGTATTTGGAGGATGTGGAAGGCAAGGATTGCTCAATGATGTCTTTGTTCTCGACTTGGATGCCAAACAACCTACATGGAAAGAAGTTTCTGGTGGTGCTCCCCCTCTCCCTAGATCTTGGCATAGCTCTTGCACGATAGATGGTTCTAAGTTGGTTGTGTCTGGTGGGTGCACAGATGCTGGGGTGCTTCTCAGCGACACTTATCTTTTGGATCTTACTACAGACAAGCCAACATGGAAAGAGATTCCAACATCATGGACACCCCCTTCTAGGCTGGGACATTCACTTTCCGTTTATGGTCGTACTAAAATTCTTATGTTTGGGGGGCTTGCAAAGAGTGGGAACCTGCGGTTGCGATCAGGTGAAGCCTACACTATTGATTTGGAGGACGAAGAACCACAGTGGCGGCAACTGGATTGTAGTGCCTTCACCAGTGTTGGTAGCCAAAGTGCTGTGGTACCACCTCCTAGACTCGATCATGTTGCTGTAAGCATGCCTTGTGGGAGGATAATTATATTCGGTGGTTCCATTGCCGGGTTGCACTCTCCTTCTCAGCTCTTCCTCTTGGATCCTTCAGAGGATAAACCATCATGGAGGACTCTCAATGTTCCTGGGCAACCACCAAAATTTGCTTGGGGTCATAGTACCTGTGTCGTCGGAGGGACCAGGGTCCTGCTATTGGGGGGACACACAGGTGAGGAGTGGATACTCAACGAGTTGCATGAGCTGTGCTTAGCAAGCAGGCAGGATTCAGACTCGTGATTCACAACCTTGCCCATCACCATTATCTAAAACAACCCTGGAAGAGAATTTTCGTTATATTCGCCAGCCTAGGTCGTTTCTTCCATAATGTTAAATCTTATTTTTGACTTGTATTACCTGATGCGTTGTGTTTTCGTTCGGATTCTGTCATTGTATATAAATTACATTTCATGGAGTCGCTGTACAATGTAAAAACATAAATCAGCATTTGTTCACTGTTTGTGACCACGCCGCAAGTTTTATGACTCATTTTGAGTTCTCGACTTTTACATATCAAAATGCCTCGGACTTGATAGTGAAAATGGTTCAGTTATTTCTGTTTTACCTTTTTTTTTAATAAGTGGCCTATTTTTGAGGAATTAAACTTTTGATATGTTGTTTACCTGCAATAATAGAATGATTTTTGGATTAGGAATGAATGAATACGGTGTATATTAAAGTCAGAACAGCAGTGGTAGTCCTCGAATGATCAATTTGGGAAAAAGGAAGTCATTTCCCTCTTTTATTGTACTTTTAGGGCAAATTACACTAAATACCATTGAACTTCAGCATTATATCAATTTTATTAGTGAACTTTAAAAAACTTCAATTTTAATAATAAATTTGATTTTGGCATTAATTATTGCACCGTGCCGTTGATAGTTTGACATTAATGTAGAAGTTAAAAATATTTTTTATTCCATCTTAAATTTTCTTCGTCAAAGTTTTTTTTTCATTTGATTTTAGTATTCGTCGAAAACTATCATTCTCATACGTCTTTTGTGGTCACCTTAAGCACCGAATGAATTTACCTCATTGTCATCCATTACTTTTTCAATTTAGATTTACCTAAATATTTTCTAAAATTCATGAAACAACCTCAACGGATGATCGTAAAAGGAGACCAGAGTATTAAAACGTTAAACTTTTAGATGAATTTTCATCGATTTTAAGTGAGTTCGTAAACAATCTGAGTAGAAGAGCGGAATGAAATATGAATACTTTCATACCCACCTTGTCACAAATAGCGATCGGTGATAGACAACGATTGATCAACAATGATGAAAGAAGTAGTTGTAAAGACCAAAATGCTACACAAATTAAGTTTTAGTGCCTAAAAAGAGTTTTAAAGTTTATAGACAAAATTGAATTAAAGTTCATAGAGAAAAAGATGATCATATCATTACAATGTTAACAATTTAACGACTCAAAGCTATAACCGAAGTCAAAATCAAGATTCAATATTAAAATTAGAATTTTTAAACTTAAGTGGTAAAATTGATATAAACTAAACTCAATAATATTAGATATAATTTATAATTATTTTTTATTATAAAAATAAATTAGTAAAATTTATAACATTATTAAGAGAAGTCATTCAAATGATGTGATATGTGATTATTTGACCAATGACAACAAAATATATTTATCTGATACTAAATTTGAAAGTACTATCGGGTAATTCTGCCGTACGACATCTTAATATACGGTTAAAGAAATACACTATCGAAAATGTTATTAGTTTTTTAACATTTTCGATAAAGCGCTATCTAAAACATTATTTTTTCTACCGGAAATGTTAATTTTGCTACCTAATTTCCGGTAGAAAAATCGGTAAAAAAAATAACATTTTAGGTAGCGCCTAATATTAACATTTTTTGTAGAAAAAAATAATGTTTTTGGTAGCGCTCTACTGGAAATGTTAAAAGACCAATAACATTTCTGACAACGTCTTTCCTTAACCGTATATTAGATTGACGTACTAGAGACGTCCCGAGTCCTTTACCTCCACTCTATTATGATAAAGATATTATGATAAAGAGAGTAAAGAGAATTAACCTTGCAACCGATCACGATTACTATCAAGATTTCAGTTAGATTCGAGGAAATGCATGAAAAGATGTGGTAAAACTTTGGCATAAGAAAGTCGTGCTTCATTGAATTGTATGGATAGATTTACAGATATTTATTTATTGCTCATCAATTCGTTCCGCGTAGTTAGGGGAGAAATTGCATCCCTGCCTCCATATTTCTCATGGGTAGTTGAGGTTATTAAGTATGACTATATTATCACATCAATCCAAAAAGAAACAAGCATCTTGTTTAATTAGTTCACTCAACGTCTATCTAACCTATTACTTATAAAATTAAGGTTAAATAACTATTAGTTATAAAGTTTATATACGAGTCTTGACCTTCACACGTTCATTGAATTACAAAACCAGCCTCTGCCACTCCTTCACTTTCTAATCTTCTTCCATTCAGAATTAGATCTCTTTAAGCTCTTTCTTTTTCCATAGCATATTTCTTGTATCAGGCCGACGAAGAGAGAAGAAAATGGAGTCACAACGTTTTGAACATGAACATCCGTTGCTGTTCATTGAAGATGCGAGCAGCAATCAGCAGAGTGAAGCCACTCACTGCTCGACGTGCTGTGATGTGATGTCTGGCCCAAGTTTTAGCTGTGCTGAGTGTGAGTTTTACCTGCATAAAGAATGTGCCGAGGCACCCTCGCAGATTAAGCATCCTTTTCACCTTCATCACCCTCTCTGTCTTTTGCCAACTCCAACCTAATATGAGGGAGGGAGCTTTCTTTGCAATTTTTGCGGTGAAAGAGGTGAGAAATTCGTTTATCATTGTTCTAGCAACATATATCTACACATCAAATGTGCTTCCTTCATATACAACTTTGCTGAAAAGAAATCTGGAATTCTTCAAGCCTCAAGGTATTGCCTACAAAGATCCTTCCATTCCCACAGAAAATAGTAACAAGGAACTTGAATGTTCAAAGTGTTTCGCATGTTGGGAACCATTATTTGATTCTTCTTATTACTCTCTGGATCGTGTATTTAATTTTCATATAGAATGTGTTGAACTATCTTCTGAAATCAATCATCCACGTCACGCCGAACACCCGCTTCTTCCACAGTTCTGTGTTGAAAAACTCAGGTGCATCATATGCAATGACAACAAAAGTTATGGACTTTGTTATTGTTTTTCACTTTTCAATTTCGCCATTGACGTATCATGTCTGTCACTGCCACCTATAATAGAAGGTAAAGCTCATCCACACCCATTCAACCTCCTTTTTAGAGAAATGCTCTTCACTTGCGATGCATGTGGTGTTGAGGGGAACTCTGTTCCTTACTTGTGCTTGAATTGCAGCCTTTTGGTCCACAAGAAATGCATTTCATTGCCACCCATCATCAAAATTTTTATGCATGAACACCCTCTTTGTCACTCCTATTCCATTACAAGAGATTACTCCAAGTCTAAGAATTGGGACTGTGTAGTTTGTCTTGATGAGGTGAATACGAAACATGGGAGTTATGATTGTTTAGAGTGTCATTTTATTGTTCATCTGAATTGTGATACACAATAATAGAGTCGGTGGAAAAGTTTAATGAGAACCGAGTATTACCAAAAGATTCTTATATTGTCCTTGAGAGAAACGAATGTGAAGAAGCCACTATGATCAAACATTTCACTCATGAGCATAACTTAATGCTAAGTGACAAGATTCTATAGAACGACGGATTTTGAGATGGATGCACCTTCCTTATTTCAAATTCATTGTGCACCTTCCTTACTTCAAATTCATTTTATCATTGTTCAGAATATAATTTTTTTCTTCACAAGAATTGTGTTGAAATTTCCTAAGAATAAGACCTTTGGTTCAATAGCTGTGAAGAATCATCCATCCTTATTGCAGGCTGCGTTTTCAAATGTGACTATTGTGGACGCGATTGCGATGGCTTTGCCTATAAATGCCATAGATGTGGGGAGCATTGTTGCCTCGGATGTACAACTCCTTACACTCTAACATGTGAAGGACATGAGCATCCTGTGTCTTATTTACACAGCCACAAAGGGTCATGCATTCGTTGTGGTGGGGAAGGAATAGGAAAATTTATATGTAGGATATGCAAAACTGGTTTGTGTTTTATGTCTTAGACTACCCTGTAAAGTTCAAGACAAATGTGATAAACATCTTTTGGCTCTTACATATGAAGATAGTAATACTTATCCAGAAAGTCAATTTTGTGATAGTTGTGAAGGAGTTCGAAACTCAAGTGTTTGGTTCTATTCCTGTGCAATCGAGTCAGATTTTCACCCTTAATTCTATATTGATCTAACCATTATTGTTGAAGTTGGGCTTCAGCTGCTGCAAGCTTTAGTCAAAACAAACTTACTGTTTTTTTCCCCTCAAAATTTGATTTTTTTATTATTATAGATTTTAGGAGATTCTTTAGTATAAATCTGGTTGTTGCTTGATTTTAGGATGAGGTTATTATTTCATTTTGCATTTAAACATCGCTTCAACTTCAATAAAATGTACTTGTTTTTCCCTTCAATTTATTTTCTTCTTTTACTCTCCAAACTTTTATATTTAATTTTTTAAGCTACAGCAATTTATTCTAATAAACTGGCATCACAGCCTTTTTCATGAGGACATGTACCTATTTTTTTTATCTAGACTTTTTTCCTCTATGAATTTAGAAACGCTTTTCACTGCACTTGCACCACTCATTTAAGTAAATGTAGGGTCGGAACTAAGAATTTATTATAGCGGGGTTTAAAATATTTTTTATTTTTCATAAAACATTTTTTAATTTGAGGGGCCTGATAAATTTTTCTTTATTTATTTTTTTAAAATAAATTTTTTAATATTAATTCATGTTTAAAAAATAATTGACGGGGCCAAGGCTCCTCTTGGCCCTATGAAGGTTTTCATGTTTGGTCAGCAAAGGTTCATCTAGAAGCAAATGATCTCTGAGAAGCTATCGACGAGGACTACGAAGTTCCTCCATTACTTGTCAATCCAACAATGGTGTAAATCAAGAATCACAAAGAAAATAAAGAAAATCAAAGGCAAGAACTATGTTATTTGCTACAGTCTCATCTGAGATTTTTCTCAAAATCATGACAATGAAATCATCATTTGAAGTTTAGAATTTCTTACAGGAGTATGAAAGAGATGAAGGATTAGAGGAGTAACTCTAAACCTGATTAGAAAGTTTGAACTCTAAAAGATGAAAGATTTTGAGACGATGAAGGAGTAATTTGACAAATTGCTTGGAATCACAAATAAAGTAAGATTGTTTGGTTCTGAATTTTTTTGATTTCAAATTAGTTCAAAAAAAATCGAAGTTACCATTTCCACATTGAAAAACACTAAAGATCTATCAAAGGTTACCTTGGCAGAACTGATGAATGCTTTGTAGGTACAAGAACATAGAAGACCATGAGATCCGAAGGTCTATTGAAGGTGCATTATCCGCAAAAATGAAAGAAATATGAGAACAATAAGGGAAATT